GAATATTGTCTCCTTTCCAACCGTTTTGAGAAACGCTACTTTAGAGATACAACAGAGAGGAACAACGGCGGTGGCCAACTCTCCCCGTTCTTTGGGCCACGGGGCTGCCCGCTCTGGACTAGAAGACCTCCAAGGTCCCTTCCAACTTTCTTATGGATCAGGGGTTGGTCTAGAAGACCTCCAAGGTCCCTTGCAACTCTGTTCTGACTGATTGATTGATACGGGGTCTCCTGCTTGAGACAGGGGGTTGGACTAGAAGACCTCCCAGGTCCCTTCCAGCTCATTGATTGATTTGTGGGCTCCCATCTCTACTTCTATCCGATGACGACGGCGGGGTTAGGCGAGGTTTTCCGGCTGGGCCTGGATTGGATGCCACTCTTCCCTACACAAGACCGAAAAAGGGGGTACACACACACACACACACACACCCCACAAACACTCCCTGCAGTTGCTTCCTGAATTTCTCCCTTTCACAGAAATGGTGCATTAGTGCTCAGGAATCAGCCCCTGTTTTGTTTCGGTTTCCGGACGGTCTAAAAAAAAGCCCCCAGAATATAGGGAAGAAAAACGACCCTCCCGCCTTGACCGGAGCGAAGAAACTGAGTCACGGAGTTGAGAAGACGAAAGAGAGAGAGAGAGAGAGAAAATATTGAGGCAGGAACTTGAATTACTCAAGGGCAGAATACTAGGAAAGCCGTATGAATCACTTCCTATCCGGCAGTAGATTTAATCATGCGTGGGAGCGCATGGCTAAGGTTTGCTAGCCAGCAAATTCTTGGCAAGGCGGCCAAGAACATTGGGTTACATAAGCCTGCCCAGACCAGCACTCCATGTTCGTCTAGATCAGGGTTCCTGGCAGCCTCTGGTGGGTCTACTCTTCTGTTCACAAGGTTGGGTCCTCGTTCGCACAACCTCCTCGGAAGTTGCCGGTTCGTGGAAGAGACAGGGAGCCTTTCGGCCTCAAGGAAATGCCCTCCGTTGGAAAATGGGGTGTCTAGGAATGGAATGGAATACCGAATGCCGAATACTGGAATAGAATAGAATAGGATAGAATAGAATAGAATAGAATAGAATAGAATAGAATAGAATAGAATAGAATAGAATAGGACGGAATAGAATAGAATAAAAATAGGAATATAGAATATGGAATGGAATAGAATAGAATAGAATAAGAATATAGAATGTGGAATGGAATGGGATATAGAATGGAATAGAATATAGAATTCAAGAATATAGAATATGGAAAATAGAATGGAATAAGAATATAGAATGCAGAAAATAGAAAATGGAATAGAATAAGAATATAGAATGCAGAAAATAGAAAATAGAATAGAATATAGAATGCAGAATATAGAAAATAGAATAGAATAGAATAGAATAAGACTATAGAATATAGACTATAGACTATAGAAAATAGAAAATAGAAAATAGAAAATAGAATATAGAATATAGAATATAGAATATGGAATGGAATGGAATGGAATGGAATAGAATGTGGAATAGAATGTAGAATATAGAAAATAGAATAGAATACAGTAAAATACAGTACAATACAATATAGAATAGAATGGAAAATAGAAAATACAATACAAATGTTGGGCTCCATTGAGGTCGTAAATCGAGGATTACCTGAACGTCAGAAAAATGATGGACACATTGTTAGACCCCTGTCACAGGGGTCTCGACTATATCAGCGCAAAAAATCCACCAGGCAGTGGGAGGGGAGTAACGAGAGGAAAACCAACACATTTGGGGTGACATTTGTTTCTGCAAATCTGAGCGTAGGATTAATCTAAGGTGGATCCTAAAATGCGCCGATTTGCAGGAAGAAAAATAAATAAGCCTCAGCCCGCATGTATTGTTTCGTGAAGAGATTTCGACCTTTGAAATCTCCCATTTTATTTTTATCTTTTGCATTCAAACATGCAAGGAGACCCACCCACCCCCACCTGGTCCCCCGTTTATCTGCTGTCACTCAAAGGAAGTCCAAGCCTCTCCACGAACCTCCTGCTTATTATACAGAGACAAATGGGCGAGTGAAGCGCTTAAAGCGTTTTCCCGCGGAATAAAATGAATATTTTGATTTTGAATCGTCAAATAAAGCCAAGTTGTGGGTGGCTTTAAGGCAAGTGGAGTCTTGAATTCTTGCTGGCTGCCTCGTTATTTTTTCCCCTTGCCTTAAGGGATGGAATCCCAGGTTTTGTTTTGTTTTTCCCCTGCTAGAAATCATACAGGTAGTGTCCCCAATAGTTCATTTAGTGACGGTTCGAAGTTACGATGGCACGAGAGAAGTAAATGAGGATCATTTTTCAAACACTAAGGGCTGTCGCAGAACCTTCCTGGTGGTTGCAGCGTCACTCTCGTGTGTGTGTGTGTGTGTGTGTGTGTGACGGGATCCCCTTTTGCGACCGAACCGACGAGCGCAGTCAACGGGGAAGCTGGATTCGCGGAACGACGGTGGGGCTAATTTGACAACCGCAAGGATCCGCTGAATGGCGGT